GAAAAGCAGTTACCGTTGTGGTGTAAATTACTACACTATGATGGGGGTCTGAGGGCGGAGTCGTGCTGCTGCTAGCTGGATGGGGTGTGACAGCAGTAAGGTCTTTCCCTTGGATGACCAGCAATACCATGCTGATGTTGCCTTCTCAGTGGAAGGGGAGAAGGGTTAGAAAAGGTTGGCCCCAAAAATAACACACGCCGCCATACCCCAAGGTCTACCAGGACGGCGGTGTTGGTTCATTTGTCATTTCTCTTCGAACATCCGGCCCCAAAAATACAAAAGTTCAAAATAATCATACTCAAAAGGCTGCGTGTGACGGGCCTCAAGCAGATGTCCGACGGGCTCTGCAGTCACATAAATCTCTTTCAGGTACCTCAAGAAGAAATAGCCTTCCATGATGTGGGCAGCCGGGAAGTGTCAACCACCCTCATAACTCGATTAGCACTCAAGTTTCCTCAGACTGCTATCCACCTCCCCATCATTACCCTCTAATCTTCCTTCACTTCTCTCAACTCACGATATTACAACATTTTCAATCTCTCCTAGCTCTGTAGCCTTTGACAACAATCTGAGTTCACAGAACAGCATCCTTGGTCTCCTTAAACCATGCTCCAAATTACATATTGAAGCCTAGAATGTCCGCACCCTCCGTCAAATTGGTCAACAGGCTTCGTTAGCAAAGACTCTAGCAACTCGAGGCATGCATGTGTGGTGTGTTTGTGAGACACGAATACAGGACCCAAGAGCGTTTATTCACCTCACCTCTCCCAACCAATCTGGTGAATCCACAAAATTCACCCTTCGAGTTTCCGGAGATTCGATAACTAGCTCTCGCCGTCTCGTAAGTATAATCATAACACTAAGCACTAGGACAGAAAACTCACCACTAGACTGGATCCCAGTTGATAGTCACCTCTGCGCTATCCGACTGAACGGCACAGTGAGAACTAAAAGGAATAAGGAGACTCGCTGTTGTCTCTTTGTAATCTCTGCTTACGCACCCACTGACTGTAGTTCGGATAAAGTGAAGGACGAGTTCTACCCTAAACTGTCTAGCCTCCTCTCGAAAGCCAAACGTTCGGATGTGATGGTTGTTGAAGGTGATTTCAATGCACAGGTGGGTAGACTGAGTGGGGCAGAAAGGCACTTAGGTGGGACTTTCGGAGTCTCGGCTGAACATACAGATAACGGTGATCGCCTATTACAACTATGCTCAGATAACCGCTTATTTTTAGCTAGCACAAATTTCAGACATAAAGAAAGATACTGTCTGACGTGGCATCCACCAAGCTCAACTCATCGATGGATACAGATAGACCACATTGCTATTAGTCATCGCTGGAGAGGATTGGTGGAAGACTGTCGCTCCTTCTGGAGTACGTGTTTGGAAGCGACCACGCGTCGGTCTGAGCGCGTATATCCCTGCGTCTCAATGGACGTAAGAAACAGTTGGCAACAAAACCACTACGAGTGCTGCTGGACAAGGAAAGCACCAAAACCGTGTTCAGTGAGAAGTTGGCTATACAGTTATCGGAACAGAACACCATCACTCACCCAGAAGAAGCTTGATACCATCTCCAGTTCGATGTAAAAGCAGAGCTGAAGACCGTAGCCGACCCCGAAATAGTGGCAAAAAGGAGGCAGTGGATATCAGAAGCTTCTTCCAAACTAATGGATGCACGTGAACGCATCCCTACAGGCTCTGAGTACAGTGAAGAGTGAGCGCAACTAAAAAGTAGACTGAGAAAAAGTCTGCGCAACGATCGCGAACAGTGGTGGGCAACGAAGGCTAAAGAGATGGAAATGGCAGCGGCGATTGGTAACAGTAGGCAGTTATTTAGACCTATTAAGGAGACTGGTGGGAAAAGGTCAACAACATTTAGTTAGGCTATAGCGGAGAAGTACGGATCTGGGACTCACTCACTGGTACGATGGACAGAAGACTTCGAGGAAGAGTTTAATTAGCCTCCAGCCACCACTGCGTTCCCCACTATCCAGTCGGATCCTGAATGGAACATTGAGATAGGGCCCCCAACACCAGCAGAAGTTGAGAAAGCGGTAGGTAACCTGAAACGAGGAAAGGCAACAGGACCAGACGGACTAACTCCTGAGGTATACAAGGATGGTGGTAAGATGCTGTTAGTCAGGTTAACGAAAGTGTTAACCAGTATATGGGAATTAACTACGATCCCCTCTGACTGGTTTGAATCACTGATTATCCCAGTCTTCAAGAAAAGCGAGAAGTCCTCTTGTGATAACCACGTGGGAATCAGCCTGACGAACATAGTGTCCAAGATCCTAGGTTCTATAATTCTCCGACGCCTGAATGGAGCTCGGGAACAGCAAGCCTGAGAAAACCAGGCAGGCTTTAGACCCGGCCTTGGGTGTATCGACCAAATGTCTACACTGCTCCAGGTCCTGGAACACAGGCACGCTTACCGACGCTCGACAACATTTGTATTTCTTGACCTGAAGGCGGCATTCGACTCCATTGATCGAGAAGTCCTATGGCAATGTCTCTCACTCAAAGGCGTGCTGAGTAAGTACATCACCTTCTTGAAGGCGTGTTAGAGCCTATGGTGAGATGTCCAGGGAGCTGCACTCGTCGAGTAGTGTTCGTCAAGGCTACCCACTCTCTCCATTCTTATTCAATTTTATCATAGATATTCTTATGGAGGTCTTTCTGTCATCACCTGACTACACAGAGATTGACCTAATCGCAGAAGAATATTTTAGACCTAGAAAATGCAGATGACATAGTCCTTTTAGGTGAAGACGCTGACAAGATGCAGAGTCTTCTGAACACTTTGTCTACTAAGGGTCACGTGTACTGCACGGCAGTCCACTCTGTCCTACTGTATGGTTGTGAGACATGGCCACTGAAGGTGGAAGACATGAGAAGGCTTCAAGTGTTTGACCACCATTACCTTCATAGTATAGGCTGTATTCCGTGGTGTCACCACGTGAATAATGCAGACGTCAGGTATAGAGTTTTAGAGAGTAGAGGTAAATCGGTTGACGAGGTCATGAACCTTCATCAACTGAGATGGTTGGGACACGTACTACGTATGCCCAGTCACTGACTGCCTCGTCACACAGTGTCGCCTGAAGTATATCTAGGCTGGAAAAAGGCCCGAGGTGGCCAGACTGAAACATGGCACCAATGTAGGAAGTCTCTGACTGTTGGTTTGAGGCATAGGGGGTGATGCAGACTAGGTGGTTGTGGTCCGCGGGACAAGAGGAACTAGTGATTGAAGACTCTGGGGGATATGACTGAGAACCGATGTCAGTGGCGCAGATGTATACACAAATTATCCTCATCTTAACGACATTACGGAATACCACAAACCGTTATCAACCTCATTCAACAACTATATGAAGACGCCACATGACAAACAATTCACCATGGGAAGCTAAGTGGTGCCTTTGAAGTGAGAACAAAGGATAGGAGTAAGACAAGGCTGTTGCCTACTATCACCCATGATCTTTCTGATTGTGGTCGATTGGATCATTCAGCAAACAATGAGGAGCGAGAAGAGAGGGATACGCTGAACCTGGGAACAGATCGTAGAATATTTGGACTTCGCCGACGATAGTGATTTATGTCTAATATCGTATATCTTACAAACTGGAAGATCTACAGGTAAAAACTTACAAGTTTACAGAAGAGGTAGGGCAGCGAAGATGGGACCTCAAGTGAACGTAGAGAAGACAGAGGTGATGTTGATACCCAGCCAGCACCACCAACAACAATAATAACAAGCTCCAATCACCATCAATGGGAGAAACCTAAAGGAAGTTGTCTCTTTCATCTTTCCAGGCAGCATCGTTTCAGTTACAGGCAGCACAGACGAGGATGTCAAAGCAGTGACTAAAAGACAAGACAGGCGTTCAATTACCTGAAACCAGTGTGGAGATCCTCTGCATTACACTCAGCATAAAGCGTGAACAACATCCGGATTTTCAACACCAATGTCAGTCAAGTCAGTGCTTCTATGTGATGGTTGAGAGACTTGTCGCGTTACGAAATGCATTTCCAAGAAACTACAGATATTCATCAGCAACTGCCACCTACGCTGGCTCGTTACTCAAGCTCAGATGGCCAGAATAATAAGAATAAGCAACAAGGAACTTTGGCAACGAACCAACGAAGCAAGAACCTATCGCTTAACAAATATGCAGAAAGAAGTGGAGATGGATTTGGCATGCACTGAGAAGACGTTTTGGGACATGATGTGCCAGGTCAGGTCGTCAAGTGGAACCCGAATTGGAAACGGCGAGTTAGACGTCTGAGGGTGACATGTAGGAGATCGTGTGAGGAAGAAATGAGAGGTTGTGGGCAGTTGTGGAGCTAGGCTGAAAAGATTTCAGAGAAGAGATTGGAATGTAGATGTGCTACTGAATCCCTATGTTCCACTAGGAACCCAAGGGACAAATAATAATAATAGTAACGATGCTATACTGAATCTCACCATTTCCTCATTCTTCCTTTCACTCTTTTCGTACTTTATATTTTCTTCGACTGAATTTTCTTATCTTCATCTTGCACCTTACTGCCTTTTTACTTGATGAACCGATATTAACTATGGCAACTCGGACCATTATGCAGTAATGTTGATATTGATGATGATTATCTACAGCCTCAGTGGTACCAAATGAATAATAGTCACAAGGAGAACAGAAATGATATAAGAATGTACCTTTTAGAATTTAATTTTATTCATCAGTTATATTTCATCTTGACAACCAACTTAGAACTGTTATGGCAAAGAATAATAAACAAGTAATTTTGACGATTTTTTCCATCACTTTCCACTGTTTGTTTTGTACAAAAAGAAATTCTTCAGAGGGTTTAACATAACTTCATATTTATATTGTTGTTTATGATGCAAACAACAGTAAAAATAAAGAACAAGTGGAAATGAAACAATATTTCATGCTGGATAAGTTTCATAATTTCACTGTACATATCCTCATCTATGCGCCTACGCGTTTAAACTTTATTATTATTATTATTATTATTATTATTATTATTATTATTATTATCATTAATATTCTGAAGCATAAAATCAGCTAGAAATTAACTGAATAATTACATGTAAATGCAAAGATGGAGAAGAATATTCAAGAGAGACAAGGTGTACAAAAACATGACAAACAATGAAATATTTGGAATAAATCAATACCATTTATCTATCACTACCAGTACTGATACTAATATCATTGATGTTTCTTGAGTGGTATGTAATAATTAGTTTTTTTTGTGGTACTGTGGTTAATCTTTCCGCTTGTTGTTGCTACTACCACTGCTAGTACTACAGTGATCAGCATATTTTATGTCATTTCTGCTTTCATGGAATGTAATTTCTTTGGATATGGTATTGATATGAAATGAAAAGTAACTTAAATGAAGAAGAAAAAAAACGTGTACAGAACATCACTCAGTGAAGTTTTGATGAAACATTAGTATCAGTAGTCATTGATGTTTTGTTTCAACCAGTTGCTTCTCTACTATGAATACTACTACTATTCATCAAACTATTACTACCACAATTACTATTTTGTCCACTGCATACACTACTACTACAATCACTTTGATTACTGTAATTTCTTGTTAAACACAAATTTTGTTGTTCATCCATTTCCATTGTATTCGACAGATAAGTTTGCCTGATCACCTTTGATAAATGTATATCATTTATTGATGTAGTATGATATCTTGGATCGCTGGTTCTATTGTTACCGGCAGTGGTAACCAGATAAACATTGACAGTATTATTATTATTATTATTACTATTGTTGTTATGGTTGCCATTAAGATGACTTTCTCTGGTGTGTAATTGATTTGAATGGAAATGTGGATGATCAGAGTTCATTACAGGTGAAATATAGTCAGATAAAATTGGACTATTCCTACCGACTGGATTATAAATTCCACCTCCATGACGATTCTGTTGATAAGAATGATGTTGCAAAGGTGGTAGAGAAGAAGGATAAAGTGTATTGGTTACTACTGTACTGCTATAAGTGTGTAGATTACTTGAAATCATAGATGACCACTGATCAGGTAATGATGTGGCGACTGTACTACTATTATCAATAGTAGAAACTATTGAACAATTGACTGAGTTGTTTGAATCTAGTGAATTACATGGTTTTAAATTTCGTGTCATTATTTGAAATGGATTAGACGGTAATGATGCGGATGTTGATGATGTTTGAAATGCCGGATTACGATGAGACAAAACATCTTGACTACTGTTATTGTTATTATTAATAGTAGTAGTAGTATTAGTAGTGGCAGTGTTTATCATAACAGTATTATTGAAGCTATTATGACTTTTATTCAGATTTGCGTTTGGTGATCTTGACTCAATTAATCGTTGTTTCATTCCCGGTAAATGATGCTCTTTCTTCCATTTCATTCGACGATTTTGAAACCAGATCTTGATTTGTCTTTCTGATAGTGTCAATGTGTGCGCTATTTCTAATCGTCTTTTACGTGTTAAATACTTGTTGTAATGAAATTCTTTTTCTAATTCTAATATCTGTTGACGAGTGTATGCGGTACGTGTACGTTTTGGATCGTTCGTCTGACTCATCATATAGCATATATCATCTGTTTCATCCATAGAAGATGAAGACAAAGGGTCTATGGCACATTTAGACGAAGTAATTGAATCTGTGGATAATTCTGTCAAGTGTTGTTGTTGTTCTTGTTGATGGTGATGATGACCATGATCATCTCTTGTCCAACTAACTTGACCAATTGTGTTTATTTTTGCAGTAATCTTTGCTGTTGTCGGTGTTACTTGAGACACTGAAAGTGATGGAGATAATGGTTCATTCAGACTCAACTGATCAGTACCCATGGATTTGGTACTGGACTTCAACTCTGTATGCTCGAAATGTCCTATGTGGTGTTGATGGTGTTCAATTATTTCACTGGTTTCTAAATGTTGAATTGGATTCACTAATGCAGTTTGTTTCTTAATCTGATGTTTAACGTTAATAGACTTTCCAATGGTCTGTCTAGATGCTGTAAAAAGATATTTTAAAAAACACATTTAAAATGTTAGTTGACAAGTTGACTGACTTAAAGAGAATTTACTGAAGACTATGAAAAATGGCATTTGACATTAAAGATTGACCTGAGACATGTTTACTCAACTAATATAGGCAAAACTATCACCAAGATACTACTTACAGGGTCGTGGAATAACAGTTCACAAGAATACAGAAAGCAATATGAATAACATTCTATTCTCATTAAAGAGTGAAAGAATTATTGATAGAAGCAGAGTTCTAATGACTACATCATAACAACGAAGACACACTGTAAGTAATATAGCGACTGACGGAGATTACCGAGCACCAATACGACTACCACACAGTTAGGACTAGGTAACATGAAGTGACCAATCAGTATACCTAACTCAGTCTTACAGAAGGTTAATCGTCTGCCGAATAACTTGAAGGAGACATCTCTGACTAAGACACCGGGTAACACAGGTTCCAATGTCAAGTAGGATATTAATTTCACTAAGTACGTCGATATATCTTGTTAATGAGTGCCAACATGCATGCAACCTAGGTTAAGCAGGACCCCATTCCGATTGTTTCCACCAAACTAACATTAATCCTAATACAAAGCAACGGTGAATCTTCTATCCTGGTGGTCACATGGCAAATAATTATTAATAGGATGCGGTCAGTATTCAGGACTAGATAACACGAAATTTGTTATTCTCCAGTATTATTTCAACCTTATGTGATAACTTTCCCATTTCATAACCGACTTGTGCTGGAAAATACTTACCCATATGCATAAAAGCTGTAAGTTACCATGAGATTCGAGGACTATTGACTTTTCCTACTAGGAGGTTAAATGTGTACACTAATGAAGAGGTCACAGACAGTAATAGACATCCAGATCTCATCGTTATTATTGTTGTTTTAAGTACATTCGAGCTTTTTTCATTCGGCCTTATCTTTTTGCAGACACACTACTGGTGAATAATGATAGAAATTTCAGCTTATTATCAGTTGTGCAAATAGTAACACAGATCGAATGGCTTCCAAAATGATGATAGATACAATTTGATTGTTAAATATATACAAACGGGTAATGCTGAACTGAATCATCCACTTTTAGTATGATTGATAGGTTTCTATAGTCTTTCTACGCAATACCATGCCTTCATATATACTGAAAGATACATCTTTAGCAAATATAGATGATGTTGAAAACATCAATTGTAATTAATCACGTCGACGGGTTCATATTTTTAGTTTGGTACACTAAACATAAGTCATTTTTACCATGAATCATATTTAGCCCTAAGTGATGGGAGATCTATACATTCAGACACCTGTTTAGACCTCCTATTGTGTATGATCTAGGAGTTTGTGTAACGCTGCGGCTAAAGTTTGTCAATCCAGAGTGTATCACTCCAAATATATGCTACTTTTCTGAACTAAATTCTGTTACACTGACAAGTTTACTGTGAAATTATATGAAGTTCCAGTTGAACAGTACACATCGAGAAAGTGTAAAGTTTTATGTACTTCAAGTAACTATCAGTACAATGATGTGCCTATGTTACTATACACTAAGATAATTATTTTACATCATCCAGTTATCGGTATTGAGATCTGATGAGCAGTCAGATCTCATAGGTTAGTTGATACAACGCACTAAGCCAGTGACTCAGAGGCTGTTGGTTCAAATCTTCTCATGGTCCAGATTTGCATTACTTCACCATCAATCATACAAGTTTACGACTATCTCACTTAGCCAAACCGATAATTTTATATGCATCAAATCTGTTTACTTAATATCATGGTAACCGATACTAACATTTAACTCATTTAAATAGCTTATGAAACTCTCATCAGCTTGACATATATGTGTTTTTTTTAGTTATTATAAAAGAATAAACAGTGAGCAACCAAACAAACAAATATTCATTTCACTTTTCATGTCAAAGATTGATAATTTACTCGATTTATGCTTGAAATAAATAATGTCAACTTGTAGGATAGATGAACAGTTATCAATATTTCACTTTCATCTAACTACCTCATCATTTATCATTTCAATTAATAAATCCATCATTTTAGACAAGGAAGATTTACTATTATCAATAATATTATAACCTTATATTAATTTAATTATCTTGTTGATTAAACTTTCAAATATTCTCTGTGATATGTATACATATATATATGAGAAGAAATCACAGTGAATGTCAATTATTCTTCTCTATATACTAGTCGTTTCAATTATAATGATCAATTTGAGTTGTACACCTTCTGCATAGACTAAGAATTCACTGAAACCACTTGGCAAAGATGACTATTGTATGTCACAAAAAACAAAATAAAATAAAAAGAACCATCGAAATGTTAACCATACTTATCTACATATCAAAAAGTAAAATTGGAGTGTTTTTACATTTGTTGATTTTCACTTCTATCCCAAAATCACTTACAAACCAACATAAAGATAACTACTACTACTACTACTAGGTGAAGTGAGAACAAAAGCCTATTTTTCTATTATATTGATATCACAATAAAAAGGTTGTGCATATGAGAGGTGCTTTCATCTTACTCGGTAACCACAAGACTGAGTACATGAAATTGGAATCAAATGACCAGACAATATAATAATGAATGAGGGGATGTAAAGTTCCCCTGGAGCAACACTAATATTTATGTCGTCTAATCTACATGTACACCTCGAAGATGAGTTTTTACGCATACCTATATGGTAAACAAGCACTATCACATCAGTTTTTTACCAGCCAGTAATCAGAATATATACATTAACAACTATTATCCTTAAGGATAACATTGATTGTCTGTCTAAGTTAGTAAGTAAAGTAAGTCTTGTCAAAATACCGCCGTTGCAAATACTAAGAAAAGAATAAAGGATGAGAGGATATTTGATGTGTCACACACACACACACACACACATACACCCTATAACCGAATCGACTACATGTGGTCAAGTTCATCTGATAGTCTATAAATTTTATGCACAACACAGATTGTTGGCATACCAGTTTAAAGTGTAACTGATTTAAAGGCCAATAAAAGCTACAACTGTATAAAGAATTACACACACACACACATACATACACACATTACTACTACTAAGCTTTAGATTTATTCTATCTCCATTCAAAAAAATGTATTGGCTATATTGTAGTGTACATCCAGAGAACGTAAGACGCCAACACTATAGTTGAACAGAAAATGGCGGTAGTAATCGGCTGACCTTTGATTGTTGTAGTATGCTTAAAACACGCATTTACATGCACTGTAGAGACGAAAAGCTATTCACCTTGATCTATCCTGTAAAATACTAAAAAGTCTGCAGAACACGGACACGAATACATGACACAATTTCTCTCGTACTTGATGGCATATACGAGTATTACTATTATTATTATTATTATTATTATTATTATTATTATTATTATTATGATGATCAAAGAAGCAATTCACCTAAAACACAGTTAAATAACCTAAAAAGAAAATAAGTGACAAGACTAAATCTAGAAAAACATAAGGCAACGAAAAGAAAGAGAATCGATGTATGCCTATTCACCATTTCATTTATTTACTTCAAGCTGGAAGAAGAGAGTGTGTGTGTAAGTGTAGAGAGGTGTGTGTATGTGTGAAAACCAAGTAGCTATAGGATCTTGCAGTCGGATGAGCGGTATTCATATGTACACCACAGATGATATGTGAATATCTGTTTGATAAGATTTACATGGACACATTTTACAGAAGCTAACACACAGACACACATACACACTTGTTGATTTCAATAATTATTCGAACATCATGAAGTTAATTTTTCGGCAGAAGTAATATCTACTGGAATGGACATTTTTCGGAAAAATCCGTGAGAACGACTGTTTTTTCCTTCCTTCTTTAGACTCCCTTCATCTTTTTGCTATTGACAGTGTGATAAATTAATGCCTAATGAATAATGTATAGTTGTTATGAAAGTGCTTTTAACTAGTGAAATGTCAGCAATGGTGATATATGTGTTAATGTACTACTGATATAACGTGTATTACAGTAATATATATTAACATGAATATTTCTCTTCTTCTGTATACGTTATATTGAACAAGAAAACTTGGAAATTTATGGGGAGATTTATTTCCTTTACATTGTTTCATATTAGTACCCGAGAATTATCAAAGCTGATTAGGGAGACTGAATCCGGTTGCATCATAAAATCTAAAGGTTGACTGCGCTTTCGAGGGTATCAACTTCTTATAACTGGATAGCATATTCTTCACGATTAGACCACCCAACTCGGATGAAGATTCACTGCCACAACCATCTTTTTGGGTTGTAAATACTCTTGACCATCTTAGAATGATAGCAAAGTGTTGTGTGGTGACATTAGTTATTCTGAAACTACAAACTAAGTGATCAAGAGAAATTACAAGCTACAGTCATTAGAAACTGGTTCGACCGTTCGAATTCTCAGATACTCACTGTCCACTCCCAGTAATCTATGTCAACTGACAACGGAGAATTCGAAGTCAAGACACTTCAGCCGATATCTATTGATACTTGTCTTTTCGCGTCACTATAACGTGTCGAACTGCACGATATCGGTTGGCAGCTGGGCTCCTTATGTTTTAGACTATTTGGTAGCTAGCAGAAGAATCTGAGACTCATATTTCATTCTACTTCGAACTCACTAGTTGGTTGGTTCCAACTCAAACTCAAACTCAGTGCCGACAGCTTCAAATGCCAACACCTTATTCTCTAGACCACCTGGGAACGACTACCATCACTTATCCAAAAGATATTAGTTGCTGTTAATTGGTAGTTGCATTGATATTTGTAGTAGACTACAACATTATGGATAACCGAGTAGCATCGAGGCATCCGCATAAAAGAGCATCTGCTGACAGATGTCCAGCAATTCAATCTAGTTTATATTATATTATTTATTTATCCCTTGGGTTCCTAGTGGAACATAGGGCTTGAGTAGCAAGTCTC